TTCAGCAGGTCCCTTTCTGTAGAGCCTAGCCTATTTCAACAGGGTCCAGGCACTTATGTTCATGCTTTTTGCTTTTCTTTCTTACCCGGGCATATTTTATGGACTGACACAGTACCGTGTGTGCTTGAAGCTTTCGGGAAGGTCCCCGCTGCTGCCTGCGGAGAGGAACAGTGGAAGACTGTGAGATGGGAGGAAAAGGGAGCTCCAGTCGGTGTCCCCGGCGGAGCTTGGCGGGGGGGAGACGGGAGCTGCAGCCTGTACCAAGCTCGGCTTAGTCCCCCGCGCGAAGGAGGGAAACGCGGGGTCGGATGCAGGGAAAAGGGCAGTCGGCCCTCGGGGACACAAGGAGGTAGCACAAGGAGGAGGCCAAGGCGGCTCAGCCTGCCGGGGGAACGAGGTGTGCGCGCCCCGTTCGGGTGGAGCGCGGGTTGGACAGCTTCACGAGCGTCCAGTCGCGTTCATCACACGGTACCAGCCAACGCGCTTGCCAGGACGCGGCAGCAGGCAGAAGCTTCTCAGCGCAAAGGCAGGACCCAGCCGTGTTGCTACTGCCTGCCGCAAGCAGAGGCTGCCTGGCATCTCCTTTCTCAACGGTGGTATTTTGACATGACCAGACTGTCTGGCAAACGAGCCGCCAACATACTGCAGTGTTTTGACTTGCAGAGAGACATTTCTGCGGATGCTTTTCCTGCGTTTCTCGCTGGAGGCACTTGGATGTCGGGAGGAAAGAAGATGCTTTGGAAGTGAGCGTGCCAGCAGCAGAGGGTGCTGCTTCCTCACGCTGCAGGAGCTGGCAGGCACCGCTGCTCCCAGCCCTGTCCCACAACGGGGAGCTTTTTCTAGAGGCACAGAGAGCACGGCTGAGCCTCTGACACCAACCCTCGGCTGCTGCTCCTTGAGTCACAGGCAGCGCAGGAAGGACAACTGACCTCCCACGGACATGGCCAGCTCACTGAGCAGCCTGCTCTCCCGGCAGCCTCTCCACAACTGCTGCAACGCGTTCCCGTATTACCCTGGTTGCCACCGCTTTCCCTTCACGGCTCCCTCTCTGTCCTCTATCAATAAGGCCAGG